GAGGATTAAATTGTCATCTTATGTTCAGTGCTGGCAAAAGCTGAGTGTGTGACAGAGATGGTGACAGTGGATTTAACGTCTGGGTGGCAGTTATTTTGAATATCACTCGTACCACACATATCAAGCAAGTCGGCATATTAGTGATTGTGATTGGAATCAGTCTGAGCAGTCAGCTGCCATTACACTACCATTCTTTCTGCATCTTGCATGCTGTCACACAGCATGTCTTACTGCAGCACTCCCTCCTACAAAACAATATTCCTTCCAAAAGCAGGTTTTAGTTAATTCGCTCCATGTGGCAGTGTGGATGGATCTGTCTCTCCTTCTTGCTGAAGGACACAATTCCACCTTTATAGACAATATTTCATGGGCGAAACTCAGTCCATATGTGAAACAGACTGTTCCCAAGTAGAGACTGCATTTGGCTGGTTGCAGAGCTCTTTCAGAAGAGCTCTGACAAGGACCTGGGAGGACACCTCCAAGCCATGACAGCACCTGAGGATGTGCTTTGGCTCTTTGCAGCTGCAGTTCACAAATCAACCTATTATCTGAAACCACCATCCATGTCAGTTTAAGTTAATATGTCAGCCTGTAAATTGCAGCAGTTGAGGAGCCAGCACACGTTTGCTTCTGTTGTCTCTCCTCCATGGTGGCCATTTCTGGCAGAGAGGCAGTGTGGACAGCTGGAGGTGGGAGCTTCTAAAACTACTCTAGTCTGCATTGCCAGGGCTTGTCATCTGTGCACAGTGAGAACTCCAGCAAAAATTGTTGCGTGGCTTTACAATTTTTCCCATTGATGAAGTGGCAAAATCCAGAAAAATGATACTGGCACAGCACAGCTTACCAAAAGAACCTCATGTAGGTTCCTGCATTAGCAGGGAGTACAAAGGCTTCTCCTTTCTGTTCTCTTTTCAATCGGTGTAAACAGCTTCACTCATTCTAAAACCAATTTACAGAAGAGTCTTGCGTTGCTAATAGTAGTTCCCACATGTCAGGGTTCTAAAGCACAAAGACTTTCCCTGCATTTTTATAAACTTTTCTCACATTCATTTTTAAAGACCAGACAGCTCAGATGCTTTCAAAGGACACTGGATGCTACATGCACATAAGTGTAATTCAAACTCGAGAGCTGTAAAGAGGCATTCCAGTCTGCCTGCAGAATTTGCCATCTCTCTCCCATTTTTAGGGGACTGGTTTTTATGCTGATACACCAGAGTGGAGTTCCATCAATGTTCTTGACTTCCTTGCCACTCTCAGAGCAGTTTTTACTGGAGTATGACTTGGCACTTGAGGTCTAAACCTCATTATGCTGAAATCTGGGTATGTTTTATTTTTACATTGAAATGCTTATTTTTGCAGACTCTCTTTTCATTGCCAGAATGAAGCTGATTACTGGTTGCACTTATTTCTGTTCTGTGTGATACACACTGTGACAGGTAGCAGAAAATACTCATCTGCATGTTTTATGATCAAAACACTAGAGGACACCAGTCTGCAGAGCCTGTGGTAAAGAAATCAAATGGATTACAGAGTGAGATTACACATCTTCATTTCTGTACTGTCCTTCCCACGGGTGTGGTCCCTGGGTATGGGATTTTTATCTGTTAATATTATTAGGTTCAGCTGAACCTCTGTTTAGCCTTTTTCTTTTGACTGAAGCACCAAATGCAGTTCCTTAATCCTCCCTCTAAACCTTAGCTGGTTGCTACTAAGTGGCTTTATTTATAGCCCAGGCAAGACTGAATGGCTTATAATAATGGTGACTCAAGTCTATAAATCTTTATAATTATTGCCAGAACTATTGGTGCCATGTTGTGTTGTGAAGCTTATACAAAAGTGCTAAGAATCTTTAATGGTTACTCATTAACTTTCTTGTCTTTCCTCTTTCCTGCTGGACTTCACTGCAATGAACACTTAAGCCTATTGTACACAAAACCATGCCAAAATTTCTTATCTAGATTAGTTTCCCCACAGTCCTGTCATGTTAATGCTTTGAAGGGCTCTTAGTGAGGCAAACCAGTTAATGCTCCTGGAATTTGAGGTGCCTCACCAGCTGAAGCTGCAGGGATGGAGAGCCAGGAGGCACAGAGGTGCTCAGCACAGCCCTGGGGCTTTCTGAGGGCTTTATGGACAGGGTCTTTTGAGTACTCCTTGATGTGCACCTCTCTAGTGATGGATGGATCCAGTAAAGTGGTGTATTTGGTATTTCCACAAAGGTATATGGCCAATAATAGCTGGTTTGAACTAATGTTGAGGGTACTCAGTGCTTTACAGGAAGGAGAGATGCCTGTTGGTGGTCTGAAATAGCACTGCAATGAAGCCATCCAAATCCTCCCTGTGTCTTGCAGATTTGTATCACTAAACAGGATACCAGCTGTATGACTATGACAAATCTTGCTAGCAATTTTTGATCAGAAAGTGCAAACTTTGCAGCAGTAACTTCAGCAGAAGCAGCTTATCAAGTTTGAATGCTGAGGGAAGAAAAAAATCATCCTCTTGATTTTGTGGTATTTTTGTTCTTCATTTGAGTACCTTTTGGTCAATGAGGCATTTTCTTCAGAGACCATCTGGGACACTTGGCCAAAGGGTGTCTGTGTTTGTACAGAGTGAGTCTTAGTGACATTTGGCAGTCCTGGAAGTTCAAGTCATCAAAAGAGGCAGGAGCTTGCTACCTATGGATATTAATAGAAATACTGAAATGCTTTCAAAGACCAGAGATCCAAAGGTAGAATTTCAGCATGGCTTATGGGAGAATGGGCTTTGACCAGACTTGGGACTCTTGGACTAATTTCACCTGATAGCACAGAAAGCAACAGTCAAGGAGTAGGAAAAAACCAGAGCTCTGGCTGAGGACAGTCTTTCTGGTCCTAGCAAGCATTCCTTGTTTCAGCAACAAGCAAGCTCCTTGTTTCAGCACAGGAGTAGCTGCATGATAGTGTCACATAGGCTGTTGCTCTTTATAAGAAAATGGGGTTTTGGCTAAAATAGCTGTGTTCCCTCCAGCCTGGTAGCTGGTGGCCCTTTGCACAGGCTGTTTGGCAATGGCAATGGCTGTTAAAAATGTGGCTGTAGAACACTCTTGGCTGTAGGGGCTGAGGGTGGTCATTGGCTGTAGCAAAGGACAACAGCCATGCCTGGGAACCAGAGTAGGATTCCCTTGATGTCTTCAGAAATTCAAGAAGCCCTTTAGGCAGTAGGTAAGGATGTATTACTCATACTTCTTTGGGATTAAGTGATTTAAGTAGATTTTTGGTGCTAATGAAATTTTCTTCTGACTCTAATCCGCAGGAACTGGGGGGAGATTTTGTCTTCCTCTGTAGCGAGAGGGAATTCTTCTACTCCTGGCTTCTGGCAGCTCATTGCAGTTTGTGGATATTTGTCTTCTGTATGACAGAGACTAGTAGGACACCTCAGCATGGAGTTGCCCAAGAGGTATAAGTGTATGAACAGTGACTGTGTATCATCTGTCACAATGCAAAACCAAAGGAATGCTAAATTACACTACCTGGTGACAGTCTCTAAGCAAACAACTTCTTTTTCATACTGTGTGTATTTAGATGGATAACTCATTGCCATGGGATGCTGTCACTACCAGTGTGAGGGGAAGAAAACCCTGTGGAGGGCTATTAAACACACAGATGCTCACCACATTCTGTGCTCTCACACAGGCAATTGTTATGTGCTGCTATCAGGCACAGCCCATTGGGTCAGGTGCTTGTCTGAGTTGATGCCACTTTTCTGTGCTTCTTCTGTCTCAAGGGATGTGTGGGTAGGGGAGAGGATTTGTGGCTTATACAAAGACTACCTGGCCTGAGTAGGAGGTCTAGAAAATGAGCAAACCACAATGCATGGAACACATCTTTTTATTCAGTAAGCAAGCAAGCACAGAAGTATAATGTGTAGTGCTTAATATTCATACAGTACTAAAAATATAAAAATAGAAATAAAATTTCACTGAAAGCATTTTCACTCACAAATATACAAGGAAAAGTGCTGTCAAGCCACATCATGCTACACCACTTGCCAGTTGCTGAACTGACAGTTTCCCAACAGAACTGAAACACTAAAAGCTAGTCCTTCCTCACAGCTTTTGGTGAGCCTGAACATTTGACTAGCAGAAATGGGCCTCCTGCAGCTGAGAACCTAAAAAGCATAGATATCTTTACATAATGGAACAATAAAATAATTTGGGAGAGTGACAGCAGCCTGCCCCAGGCTGTTTGTGTATCTGTCATAGAGAATAAAAAAAAGATAGAGAAATAAACTTGAAACCTGATTAAATCCAGACCAGTCATGGCTAACAATTCCTGGAACTGTATTCTGCATGGATATTTGTGCAATACTCCCACCTGGTGGCACATCCATCAACTCTTCCTTGGATGCTGCCGTGCCCTCTGCCTGCTTACACTGGCACAGATATTCATCTTCCCCTTAATCTGTTGGAGTCCAGGAGCACAACCCATAAACAGTGCTAAGTGCCCTTAACTTTTAGTGGAACTAGAGACTACCCAGCACCTTATCTCCTCTGGCTGTACCTAATGGGAGAAAATCACATCTACACAGGAAAGTGATATGGGTCAGGTTATCCAAGACAGTCCCTGCACCAGGTGCCTTGCTTTTAAGCCCCATTTTGAGGGGCTGAACTAGAGTTGAGGGCTTAAGAATCTCATGTTTGCTGACCTTAGGCATGGAGCTGAACTGCATCCATCAGGAAGGCAGCTGTGTGTGGTCATCCAGGGTGGGTTTGGGGATCAGACAATCACAGCAGTAGATCATAACAAGCCCTGTTTTGCAGAGTATGCCAGTGCACAGAACCTACTCAAATCATACAGATAAGGGTGTGCAGAACCTAACATGAACCCCACTTTGATCGGTTACTATTTTGGAATGGGATTTATTTATACTTGAGACACCTGCTATAAAAATAAATGTGACAATTAACCCCTGAGATCATTCTAGCATACTGTTTTGGCCTGTTGTTTCCCTCTGAAATAATTTTATTTGGTTTACGGACATTTATTTAGGTTCTAGTGACAAGCTTTTATAAAACACATTAAAGAATCAATGTGGGGCTGAAAAGGTGTACATTCTAGTTGCATATATGATACATACCTTATACGTATATAATACATTCCATAACAGCTGAATGTTCTAGTATTGGCTAGGAAATTCTTGCATGTGGATAAAGGATTTAAATACTAGAAGATAACCAGCTGTTTAGGATCAAAGATAATTGTATCTGACATGGTTTACTTAGATTGTTTTTCTTCCTTTAAATCTTGTTACACATAATAGCTACAGTAGTTTGTCCAGCAGGTAATAAATGAATGCATAAAGCACTTCTAGCTATATCTGGATATCATTTGCATGCACTTTTTATAAATAAAAATCAAATGTGAGGTCACATTTTCCCATCTTCTGTTTATAAACTAAATCAAATTTCTCATTCATTGAGACAGTGAAGATGTCTTTCCATAGCCCAACTCGTCCTGAAACACAGAGAAGGAACACAAGTCAGAGTGCAGACGTAACAGGACACCACATATCTACAGTCTAATTGTGCAGGGCACCAAGGATCACCTGTGAGATTCTAATCAGTCTTGGTTTTCACTGAAAGCTTAATGAGACCTAAGGCTGTTCATTGTGTTACCCAATTACCCTGCCAGAACCTTTGCAAAGCCTTAAAATAAGCACCATACACCTCATCATCTGCACCAGCCCAGTATTATACAGAAAGAATTCAGATTGGTTTGAGACTTTATTCTAGCCTGCATCAGAAATTAATATAGATTTTGGGTTGGGGAGTCATTTAAATGTGAATTTCTGGTTTCAGGGCAAACTGTGGTGTTTAATAATTCCAAGAGCTAATCATGCATTTGAAAATTGCTGTGCCTTTGGCATAAGCTGGTTAGAGAACTATCCACAGGGTATGTGGAATGTGGAGTATTAAACTGGTTATTGAATTCTGATTATTGAGATGTAATATTGTCATTATTAATTTCTATCATTTTGTGTCTAAAGATAAGGTCAAGAGATGAATTTACATTTCTCAGTATGGAGAGATTTGTTTGTTAAATATGAGTGCCTCACTCTATAGAACAGAACAAGTGCCATGCAGCCAGTCTGTGCCACTCATTTTGAACACAAGGAATAGGAAGCTCTTGGTGGATGCAACATGGACACTGAACACCTTCCCTGTATGAAGCATTCTTCTATTCTACAGAACCCAACTAGTGACAGAACCTGCTGACACTGCT